AACGAGGGGCAGTTCCGGCTGCGTTTCGGGGTGCGGGGCCGCTCCCCGGGGCAGCTCCAGCGCCCCACGGGGGTCACCGTGGACATGAACGGGGACATCATCATCGCCGACTACGACAACCGCTGGGTCAGCATCTTCTCCCCCGAGGGCAAGTTCAAGGTGAGGGGGGGGATTTACCCAGGCTGGGGAGGGGTTGGGGGGGTTGGTCTGTGGCCCCCACCCCCGGCCCTGACCCCCCCTCTCCCCACCGCAGACCAAGATCGGGGCCGGGCGGCTGATGGGCCCCAAGGGGGTGGCCGTGGACCGCAACGGGCACATCATCGTGGTGGACAACAAGGCCTGCTGCGTCTTCATCTTCCAGTCCAACGGCAAACTCGTCACCAAGTTCGGCAGCCGCGGCACGGCCGAGAGGCAGTTCGCAGGTACCGACCCCCCCGCGGCCACCGAGACCCCCCCACGTGTGCCACGGGCTCCCCCGGGATGGGACGGCCCCGTGGGGTACCCCCACCGACCACCGGGGATGGGGCTGGGCTCCTGTTCTGGTTCTGGGCTCCGGTTCCTGTTCTGGGTTCTTGGTTCCAGGTTCTGGGTTCAGGTTCCAGGCTCATCCTGGGCTCCGGTTCTAGATCTGGGTTCTGGGTTGGGGCTCTGGGCTCTGGGTCTGGGTTCAGGCTCTGGTTCTAGCTCTGTGTTCTGGATTGGGGTTCTGCGTTCAGGTTCTGGGTTTGGGCTCTGGTTCTAGTTTTGGGCTCTGGTTCTAGTTTTGGGCTCTTGGTTCTGGGCTTGGGCTCTGGTTCTAGCTCTGGGTCCTGGGCTTGGGCTTTGCTTCTGGGCTCTGGTTCTGGGTTTGAGTTCTGGGTTTGAGTTCTAGCCCTGGGTTCTAGGCTGGGGCTCTGGTTCCAGGTTCCAGGTTTGGGTTCTGGGTTCAGGTCCTGGGCTGTGGCTCTGGGCTCTGGTTCTGGGTTTGGGCTTTGGTTCTAGTTCTGGGTTGGGGCTCTGGGCTCTGGTTCAGGGTACAGGCTCTGAGCTCTGGGCTCTGGTTCTAGTTCTGGGCTCTGGGTTGAGGTTCTGGGTTTGGTCTCTGGTTCTAGTTTTGGTCTCTTGGTTCTGGGCTCCGGATTGGGTTCTGGGCTCTGGTTCTGGGTTCAGGCTCTGGTTCTAGCTCTGGGCTCTGGGTTCAGGTTCTGAGTTTGGGCTTTGGTTCTAGATTCTGGGCTCTTGGTTCTGGGCTCTGAGTTCGGGTTCTGGGCTCTGGTTCTGGGTTTGGGTTCTAGCCCTGGGTTCTAGGCTGGGGCTCTGGTTCCAGGTTCCAGGTTTGGGTTCTGGGTTCAGGTCCTGGGCTGTGGCTCTGGGCTCTGGTTCTGGGTTTGGGCTTTGGTTCTAGTTCTGGGTTGGGGCTCTGGGCTCTGGTTCAGGGTACAGGCTCTGAGCTCTGGGCTCTGGTTCTAGTTCTGGGCTCTGGGTTGAGGTTCTGGGTTTGGTCTCTGGTTCTAGTTTTGGTCTCTTGGTTCTGGGCTCCGGATTGGGTTCTGGGCTCTGGTTCTGGGTTCAGGCTCTGGTTCTAGCTCTGGGCTCTGGGTTCAGGTTCTGAGTTTGGGCTTTGGTTCTAGTTCTGGGCTCTGGATCGGGTTCTGGGCTCTGAGTTCAGGTTCTAAGCTCTGGTTCTAGTGCTGGGTTCTGGGCTTGGGCTTCGCTTCTGGGCTCTGGTTCTTGGCTTGAGTTCTAGCCCTGGGTTCTAGGCTGGGGCTCTGGTTCCAGGTTCCAGGTTTGGGTTCTGGATTCAGGTCCTGGGCTGTGGCTCTGGGCTCTGGTTCTGGGCTTTGGTTCTAGTTCTGGGCTCTTGGTTCTGGGCTCCAGATTCAGTTCTGGGCTCTGGGTTCAGGTTCTGGGTTTGGGCTTTGGTTCTAGTTTTGGTCTCTTGGTTCTGGGCTCCGGATTGGGTTCTGGGCTCTGGTTCTGGGTTCAGGCTCTGGTCCTAGTTCTAGGCTTTGGGTTCAGGTTGAGTTTGGGCTTTGGTTCTAGTTTTGGTCTCTTGGTTCTGGGCTCCGAATTGGGTTCTGGGCTCTGGTTCTGGTTCTGGGCTCTGGTCCTGGGTTCCAGTTCTGGGCTCTGGTCCTAGTTCTAGGCTTCGGGTTCAGGTTCTGAGTTTGGGCTTTGGTTCTAGATTCTGGGCTCTTGGTTCTGGGCTCTGAGTTCGGGTTCTGGGCTCTGGTTCTGGGTTTGGGTTCTAGCCCTGGGTTCTAGGCTGGGGCTCTGGGTTTGGGTTCTGGATTCCAGTCCTGGGCTCTGTTCCTGGGTTCCGAGGGGGGTTCTGGGCCCTGGGTGGGGGCTCTGGGTTCCCGGCTGGAGCTCTGGGCTCTGGGCTCTGGTCCCCGTGGGTCTGGGGTCCCGGAGGTGCCGTGGGGCCGGTCCCTGCCTGCGCTGACCCCCCCGGGGGTTCCACACACACCGGGGACCCCCGTCCCTGTGGTGGGGGGCTGAGGGGTGTCCCCG